TTTTTTTTTTTTTTTTTTTTTTTTTTTTTTTTGGTACTGGGGTTTGAACTCTGGGCCTTGTGCTCGTGAGGCAGCAGAACCACTGAGCTAAAAATCCCCGGCCCTACCTCTAATGTGTACGTCCAATTACAATACAGCTCAGGTACTGGGGATTTAGCTCAGTGGCGCAGTGCCTGCCTCACAAGAGCAAGGCCCGGAGCTCAATCCCCAGGAAGCGGGGTGCACATGGGGAGACAGCTCAGAGAGATGAACCAGATTTTTGTGACATCGTTTAGATTTTAAGTGAGCAACAGAAGTGAACCATGCCCAATGGACAATCTCTATTTCTAGGATCCTCCAGCAATGGCCCACAAACGCCTGTAGTGCAGTCAATAAACCACTGCCTTTAATCGTCTAACAATTCCATCCAACCCCTGAAAAGCTTGGACCATGTGCTATCCAGAGTGAATTTCACTTCAGGACATAAACATGCCATGGGAACAGGCTACCAAGCTCCATTAACATGGGTCATAATTTATTTCCTTTGAGAGCAGGTTTCCTGGCTCCTGATGCCCCCAATCTTATATCCATTTGGCCAACACTTAGGTCTGATTTAAAATTCACTCTGCTGAGAATAATAAAAAGATAACAAAGTCTTGCTGTCTTTTTCTTTTTCTTCTTTTTTTTTGGTACCAGGGATCAAACTCACGTCCTTGTGCTTATGAGGCGGAACCACTGAGCTAAATCCCAGGCCCGTTTTGCTGTCTTTGATACATAACTTTCTATGAGCCTGTCCAATTCCTGGGGTTGGAGAGGGCCCAGGAGATTAAAAATACACCCAATCTAGAACATCCTTGCTGCCCCTGGTACTTTATGGCACTGAAAGGCTCTCGATCATTGGGAATTACCATTTGAAATTACAACCAGCAGGGATTGCAACGTGAAGATTAGGTGACCGTGTATATTTGTGAACACAATTTGAACACTTCAGCTTAAAATGACGCTCGTAAGAAATGGGAGGCTTTCACGATTTGCCACGTCACCCAGTAGATAATCATGACTGTCCTTTGATTAAAAAGCTCATGTTTTGTGGTTTTCTTTCTTTTTTTTAACTTAAGGACTGATTTTACTAGTAGATAACACTATGGTATTGGGTGGGCAACTGCAGGGGGTATCGTTTGGGTAAGAATTAGATGTTAACTTACTTCGCAATTCAGGTGTTTTTCAGGGTGACTAGGAAAAGTTCATGGTCTGGCTCCCCAAATGTCTACACGGTAAGGTAGGTGGGCAGGTAAATAGGTAACCATGTCTCTGTGAGCACAGAAGCCCACAGAGGGTGGCTCTTCTAGACAACAACCACTTCCATGGCACACTGGAACTGTCAGGAGCCCAGACTTCATGGGCCTCTGAAAGCCCAGAGAATCCTGAGGACCAAATGGGCATTGTTCCCTCACCACAGGCACACACATGTACTGCTTATTCCTCAGGTCATATTAATGATCTATTGGAGCTGGGCGTGGTGGCGCACGCCTGTAATCCCAGCACTCAGGAGGCTGAGGCAGGAGGATGGCTGTGAGTTCGAGACCAGCCTGGGCTCCATAGTGAGTCCCTGGTCAGTCTCAACTACGTAGTGAGACCCTGTCTCAAAAAACAAAACAAAACATAAAACATATTAACGATCAATTCCAGTTGGGCCACGGTGCTCTCAAAAGACTTTTGAAAAATTCCCTAAAGAACATAAGCCCTAAGAACCTCTTTCAAAGATATAAATTATTTTTTAAAATATAAGAAGAAAGTCATTTTTATCCATAAAGCCCCACTGGTGATTTAATAAACTGAAGGGCATAAAACCAGAAGCAAAATGGGCAAAGGAGCCAGGGCTGGCATGGTTTTAACACTGGTGAGTTGCGCTTGTCTAGGAGAACCTGTGAGGAGTGAAAAATCTGCAGCACCTCCAGGACCTGCTTTCTGCGTGATTTAACAGAGGAGCGTGCCACTTTCACTAGCACGTCACTGCGACACTCTGAGACGAGCACACCAGCTAGGTGTGAGCTTGGGAGGAAGAAGAGAATGGAGAGCACACGCCTGCCCCACTGGTTTCACAAAGCTCCAGGCCAACCTTCTTATCCATCTTGAGCCAGGCCACGGTGTCCTTGATTGTGTACTGCAGTCCGAAGAACCAGGTTTCTCGCAGCCCCAGGGTCCGACACACCAAGTCAAACAGGTCCTTCCCTTTCCACTTCATCTGCAATGAAACAACCAACAGGGAGGGACATTATGAGCAAAAGCCATCATCTGCTCACCTGCAAAACTGTTCTCCTCACTCTCTGCCGATGCTAAGATGGCTGATGAGCACCGAATTCCTAAATAATTTTAAAGCTTCCCCACAAAACCATGAGTGGGAAAATACCAATTAGAGCTTAATGGCTTAATCACTGCAGAGCATACACAATACCTCCCTTGGACAGTTCCTTATAAATCTTAATATCCGCAAAGCTGCTAATTTAGGAAACCTGGTAAATAAGCATCCCCATTTAAGAGAGTGAGCCTCTTGAGTTAACCTCGGGAGATGACCAGCTTCAGGGACACAAACTCCTTTGAGATTTTCTTTGATTTTTTTTTTTTAATCATGATTGTCCTTGGACATAAAGCTCATGTTTTGTGGTTTTCTTTCTTTTTTTAACTTAAAGACTGATTTTACTAGGTTTTTCTTTTTAATATAGGGGAAGAAGTTGTAACCTAAATCGTAAGTCAAGAAAAACAAAAAACAAACAAAAAATACACACAAGAAACCAGACAGTCCAATCAGAGGTGTCTCCTATCACAGACGTGTAACTGGGCCCAGAGCAACTCACCCACAGACATACAGAGCAATTTCACACTCGCAGAATCTAAACGCGGGTGATGAACAAACATCAATGTACTGTGGTGTATTTATCTGTAGCCTCACTCGCAAGGGACCTGAAGCAATGGCTGCTAAACCGTTTTCTCAGCTATTCAATCTTATAGCTCAAAAAGCAAGTTCAACATCTCATCAGAGGAAGAGGACGCCCCGCAGTTTAGCAAATGCTGCCATCTAGTGGCTGTCTATTAAATCACTCGGGGTGTTCCTATACTTAGCCAACCACCCTCCGAGTATCAGGTGGACATTAGAATACACACTTGGGTAGTTATGATCAATGAGACACCTCACAGAAACCAAGGCCACAGTAAGAGTAATCTTGAGATTCAAATACGAGGTCACCAAACACGGGAAGAGATGAGACAGTAGAAGCCTCTGTCCTTCTGCCCTCATTAGAAATGTCTACACAGCCAGGCATGGTAGTACATGCCTCTAATTTCAGCCACTCAGGAGGCTTAGGCAGGAAGATCACAAGTTTGAGGCCAATCTAGGCAACTCAGCAAGGGCCTGTCTCAAAATAACAACAACAAAAGTTAAAAGGGGGCTGAGGTGAAGAAGGATAAACCTGGATTATTGGTAGGGAAATAGAAGCACCTGGAGACCATAATGTTAAGTGAAAGAAATCGGATGCACGAGCTTAAGTATCACATAACTTCCCTTACGTGAGAAACGCAAAGTATAAATAATTTTAAAAATAAGAGAGAGACAACTAGAAACAGGAAGATAGATCTTTGGCAAAGAGAAAAGGGATCCAGAGATGGAAGGTAAAGGATAGGGGAAAAAAAGAATTAAGAATGAAAATGCTTGCTTAAGCAGCACATATACGAAAAAAAAAAAAAGAATTAAGTGCATGCACCTACTCCCTAAGATGAATTAAACATTAGGTACTAAAAAATCCATATTAATAAAAGTAAACATTGAAATTTTAAGTTTTTTTAAAGTGGGTAGGTGGGAATGTAGCTCAGTGTAGAGTACCTGCCTAGAACGTACAAAGGCCTTAGGTTCAAACTGAAGGGGAAAAAAGAAAGAAAAAGAAACGTTCACCCAAGGAACAATGAAGATACGTCGTGAAAAGAAATGGGCAGGGTGGGGATTGGAAGCTTTAGAAACTTGTTGTAAAAGCAAGAGGGAAAAAATAAGTTAGACCCCTGGTATTTGATTGACTTGACTCTACAGGAGAGTTTTCAAGGAGGCCTTCTACGTTGTTCTCTCTCTTTTTTTTTTTTTTTTTTTTTTGGTACTGGGGATCGAACTCAGGACCTTGAGCTTGCAAGGCAGGCGTGATGACGCTGAGCTCCATCCCTGGCTGGCCTTCTATTTTTCGTATATGTAAATGAATAACGCTTTCTCTCAGGCCCTCAACAGGAGAGGCACCCCTTCTCTGCACTGGCAGTCAAAGTCAGCAGTCCAGGCAGAAGGGCATCAAGACCGCAGCAGAAAAGTGGTTAAAGCACCTGCTGGTTTTTGCCCTGAGCTGGGGCATTTCTCCCACCCGTTCATCTGGCCGTCCTCACTCTTGACTACAGTGAGACCCCTGGGGAACTAACTGCAAAGACTGGAATCCTTAGAGATATTCTGCATAAAATAAAGTACACACAGTAACAAGTTTTATTTTTAAAAGCCGATCCCCTTTTCATAAGGTGGAATACCAGACTTCCCCACTTCCCTGTCTGACAACTAGATAAAGGGTTTTTTAATTCACAGCAAGCTTTAATTCCTACAAGCTGACTTCACTGAAGAAATGTTATTTTGGAAAACTGGAAGCTTCGGGATGCTGATTATCCTCTTGTCTCTATTTTAAGCCAGCACACAGTATATAAATTATAAATGCCTACCTTGCTAGAAGATAATGTACCACTAAAGAACAGACATTAAGTCGGAGGAGTTAAAACACTCAAGGGCCAAGGGGATCAAGTCATGATTCCCCGTCTCCCAGAACTGAGGGCCACAGCCAGGCCACGCACCGGCCTGACGGGGCAGCCTGCAAGTGGGATGTGCTGTGCGTCCAAGGAAAGCTGCCAAGGGAAGGGTGAGTGGATTTCCAGACTTGGGAATTTAAATCCTCAAACATAATATTGTATTAATGCGGTTTTTCTGTCGTCTTTTTTACTTCACTTTTTAAATGCAAAACTATCTTTGTGGAATGCTAAAAGACAATGCCTTTGCCCCCATGGAACTCGCAATAAAATGAGGGGGAAGAAAAGAAGTCTCATAACCCTTCAGAATGCCCTACTTAGCAGTTTTCTTCCTATTTAGATTTTTAACTTTAGTGCAAAAAAGACGCACACTGTCAAGAGTCGGAAGTGAGCCAGAGTAGTTACCTATTGTAGACTCACGTTCTTTTTGTGCAAAGAGGAAACTGACTCAGATTCAGCAACCTGCCAAAGCAGCACTGGTCTTTAGCATGATGATCCAAGGCAGGCAAACTCCCAGTCCCTTGAGTGCCACTCTCTCTGCTTTGTGGTCTTTTCTTCTCGCTGTCCACCTTGTTGAGCAGGTGACCAGTGTCTAAAACAAGACACAGTCTCAGAAGAATGTGGCTCGTTCATAGCTCCGCCTGAATTAAAGCCTGTTACCTCTCACTTTTCCTTCGGTACGCACTGCAGAGCACCAGCTGCAGTGGGCTAGTGTTTACAGAGCCTACAAAATGATGGGAGCAGAGTGCTCACAGGACAAACAGGCAGGAGCTCGGGTCAGAGAAGGGTTGTAAGAACAAGTAAGAGTTCAGTAATAAGGGGAAGGAAATAAATATCTTTTTGAAAGTCATGATCTTCACAGGGAACTACAAGTAGTAGCTGAAACTGTCAGCCCGGCTTAGGAGGGGGGCACAGCGGGAACGGCACTAGAGGCTGGACCACAGGCTCACGTTCAGCCCAACAGTCATGGATGGTTTCAGCACTCTTGGGAAGAGGCGTGACAGGCTTGGATCTGCACTCCGGATGTGCTCTGACAGCCGTGTGGACAATGAGCAGGAGGAAAGGAGCCTACAGCAAGAAGTGCGCGCGGGGTACAGTGACACAGGTCTGTAATCCCAGCCACTCTGGAGGCTGAGGCAGGAGGGTAACAAGTTCCAGGCCAGTCTGGGCAACTTAACAAGCTGTTGTCTCACCGAAGCCAGGTGTGGCAATACACGACTGTAATCCCAGCACTTGGGAGGGTGAAACAGAGTCATCATCACAAGTTTGAGGCCAGCCTGAGCTACAAAGTCAGTTCAAGGCCAGCCTGCACTACTAACCAGACTCTGTCTCAAAAATAAACAAACAAACAAACAAATAAGGCTGGGAATGTAGCTCATGAGAAGAATACTGTTTCCGTGCACGAGGCCCTCGGTTCTGTCCTCAGCACAGAAAACAATAACAGGGAGGGAAAGCAGAGAGCGGGTCGTCCCAGCTACAGGGAGGGAATGGGGGATCATGGCGTGATCCTCTCGGCCCTTGAGTGTTTTAACTCCTCCGAGTTAATGTCTGTTCTTCAGTGGTACATGATCTTCTAGCAAGGTAGGCATTTATAATTGATATACTTTGTGCTGGCTTAAAATAGAGACAAGAGGATAATCTAGTACAACAAGCCCCATACAGCCACTCCTCCCCCAAACACGGAGTGAACAGACATCATCCAAGCACCACCCGTGGTGCAGGGGCTAAATGTGGAAGAAGAGATGAACTCCACTCTCACAGACAGGTCTAGCAGATAGATGGTCACCTCCCTCAGCCCACACATACTATCTCCACTCTTGCTACGGGTTTAGCAACACAACGCTTGTAAGTGCCACAACAAGGACAGTAAGTGGCTTTAGGGAGTCCTGGGGAGGGATCTCCCCAGTAAGGAAGATGGGGAAATGCCATCGACACTGACTCATGGTGGGAAAAAGAAGCCAACTAAAGACTGGGCTTGGAGAAAGAAGAGCCAGCAGAGAAGTGAGCTCCAGGCAGACGGAACAGTGCACGCCAAGGTCTAGAGGCAAAGAAAAGTTTAGAGGGTCCCTACGGTAAATAAAAGTAGTAGAGTACTTGTTGCAAAATACTGGGGAAAATACTATGTTTCAAAAAGGACCAAAAGAATCACTTAAACCCCATCTTTTACCACCTGTCTAACAACCTCCCCTCTCACACCAGAAACACAAGCCATAGAAAGTTATCTGGTGACTACTTCCTCCGGTCTCCTAAGAGTAGAACATAATTAATTGTGGATAGACAGGAGGTAGGTGAAATCTTTATGTAAGATGCATGGCTCAGGACATTAGGGCATAATTCTTTCCAGCACCTAGTCTAAAAGGCATAGATTGTGATAGATACCGCCTATTGGTATGAGTCTCAGCTCTGTCACCCTGCGACCTTGGGCAAGTTATT